ATTTTCCTGATAAATATGAAACTATGGTTGGTGAACGTGGAGCTTTATTGTCGGGCGGTCAAAAACAACGTATCGCGATTGCTCGTGCTATTATTAAAGATCCAAAGATTTTGTTACTCGATGAAGCTACTAGTGCTCTTGATACACAAAGTGAGGGTATCGTTCAAAATGCATTGAATAAAGCCTCAAAGAACCGCACAACGATAATTATTGCCCATCGTTTGTCCACCATTCGTAATGCGACAAAGATTATTGTGATGAATAAAGGCGTTATTGTGGAATCGGGTACACACAAAGAGCTTATGTACAAAAAAGGTTTCTATTCTAAACTTGTTGAAATTCAACAGATTCAACGGTCTTTAGAAGTTGAAGAAAACCTTAATAAATTGAATTCATTTATAACTTCGCTGAAAGATGATGTTACTGAATCATTCATTATCAAGGATGAAGATCACAAGTATTTGTTGTCTTCTCATTTGAATCAAAAATCTGATATTGAAATGGGATTAGAACATGATTATCATTTTACTGCTTGGGAATTGATCAAAAAAGTAGCGTCCATCAATAAACATGAATTTTCTATGCTTTCCATAGGTGTAATGGCATCAATAATTTGTGGTAAGTGAAAAAATCCATTTATTATATGGTAACAATTTACGAAACGGAAAAAATGTCTAAACTGTTTTAAATTCTAGGTTGCGTTTACATAGTTTCTGCTGTTATCCTTGCTAATATGATCCAAACATTCTCAGAAACTGGAAATACTTTACGTCGTGATGCTACTTTCTGGTCTCTTATGTTTCTTGGACTTGCTGTGATAAACTTTTTTGCGTATTTTTTCCAAAATGTTGCACTTGGATTTTCGAGTGAAAAGCTTACCGAACGGATCCGATCTATGTCTTTTTCTTCTATTTTACGACAAGATATTTCCTTTTTTGATGATGAGAATCATGGTGTGGGTGTTTTGACTAGTCACTTATCATTAGATATAACTCATATTAATGGTTTAGCTGGTTTTAGACTTGGAAATATAATACAAGTACTGGCTTTGATATTTGTTTCCGTAATAGTGGCTTTTATAGCTGGTTGGAAGTTCACTTTGGTTTGTTTATGTTGTGCACCTTTTATGATTGGTGCTGGCTTATTACATATAAAAATGATAAGTGGTTTTCATCAAAAATCTAAGAAAGCTTATGAATATTCTGCCCAAGTAGTTTGTGAAGGTGTTGATAATATTCGAACGGTTGCTGCTTTTACTCGTGAGGATGATTTATGGAGAATATATCATAATTTACTAGATGAACCCATGCGCCAAGGTGTTAAAAATGCTTTATTAGGCTCCATTACCTTTGCTTTCTCAAACAGTATGTACTTTTTAGTAGATGCTTTAACATTTTGGTATGGTAGTAAATTGTTTATGGACGATGAATATGATCTTTTAAAAACGTTTACGGTTCATAACACCATTATAATGGGATCATCATTTGCTGGTCGTCTCCTTGCTTATGCTCCAGATATGGCCAAAGCGAAATCTGCATCTGCCACCATAATATCATTATTAGGACGTGTTCCTATAACTGATACATGGTGTCAAAATGGTGAAAAGTTTAAAACTGTCCAAGGTCACCTTAAATTCTCTGATGTCCATTTTCATTATCCGATTCGATCTAGTGTTCCAGTTCTTCGAGGTTTAAATTTAGATGTCAAACCTGGTCAATATGCAGCATTAGTTGGTCCATCAGGATGTGGTAAAAGTACTATAATAAGTCTTATTGAAAGGTTTTATGAAGTGACGAGTGGTGAAATTACAATTGATGGATTAAATATTGCTAAAATGAATGTGAACAATCTTCGAGAGCACATTGCTCTTGTAAGTCAAGAACCATCATTGTACGATATGACTATAAAGGACAATCTTTTTCTCGGTTGTCGACCTGGACAAAATATTACTCAAAATGATATAGAAAAGGCATGTCGGGAAGCAAATATTCATGAATTTATTGTTAGATTACCTAAAGGTTATGATACATATGTTGGTAAACGAGGAATACAACTTTCTGGTTATTATCTTAAATATTGTTTTATACAGCTTTTTTTTTTTTGAAGAGTTCTAAATAACAATATTAACATTACTAAAAACTCGTTTTTCTTTCAGGCGGTCAAAAACAACGAATTGCTATTGCCAGAGCACTTATTCGAGACCCAAAAATTTTATTACTTGATGAAGCAACATCAGCTTTGGACTCAGAATCAGAAAAGGTTGTACAAGAAGCTCTTGATGTTGCTGCTCGTGGGAGAACAACCTTAGCAATTGCACATAGATTGTCAACAATTCAGCATGCTGATGTTATATTTGTTATAAAAGATGGTAAAGTTCATGAACAAGGCACGCATAAAGAACTATTAAAACTGCAGGGAATTTATTGTATGATGGTTCAAGAACAACACTTGGGAGAATTGAATTGAATTTATGAAGATGAAAGTATATATTGTATTATAATCTTTTTCATTTATGTTTATTTTAATCGCTAAAATAAATTATCCTTTACCTGCACCTAATAATCTTATTTTT